GAATTTATCATCAACTTCATGTTCCATGGTAAATTCTATATCTTTGTGTACTTTACTGAACAGACTGAGTAGGTACATGGAGTGTTGGTGATTTTTGCAGACAAGGAACGTGTCATCCATATATCTGCAGTAGAATATGGTGCTTTCGATTGCGTGCTTAAGTTTCTTTTGTTCCAGATGTCCCATAAATATGTCGGCAAGAATTGGGCCCAGAGGGCTGCCCATTGCTATTCCATCAATCTGTCGGTACAGAACATTGTTAAATCTAAATTGTATGTTTTTTGTACACAAAAACAGGAGCTGTTTAAATTCCTGGGGTGGTAAAGGCAGGAGTTCTGGATATTCACATATGATCTCTGCCGTTTCTTCCAAGGGGATATTTGTGAAAAGCGAAGAGACATCAAATGAAACCATGAATTTGTCAGAGACAATAAGATTATCAAGTTTTTGTACAAATTCAAAGCTGTCTTTCAAACTGTAGGTTGCTAGTTTTTTGCGGATTGGTTGCAAGCATCTAGTTAGCCAGCGGGCAAGTTTATGAAAGGGTGATTTGGCCATCGATAATATTGGTCTTATAGGGATGTCGGGTTTATGTGTTTTGGGTAGCCCATATAAGTATGGCAATTGTGACCCTTTTGGTTTGAGTTCGTTATACGTATGATTATCTATTAGATTTTTCTTAACGAGTTCTCTCAACTTTCTTAAGACACGTTTCTCTGTCGCATCTGTTAAGTCTTTCTGGGTATTGTCGATGATAAATCTGGTGGTTATTTAAAATGGACATTACCTTATTGATATATTCATCGTGACAAAAACATTAATCTTGTTGTTTCTCTTGATATCCTGCAACGAATTGTCACCAACTTGTTGAGTGACTTGAAAATGTGAACAGGGAGACGGCTTTTCAGAAATTTCATGCAATCAATTCCCTTTATGAATTTAAATAGAGCAAGGGAACTGATTGCATGAAATTTCTGAAAAGACGTCTCCCTGTTCCCACACTCAAGGGTGTTCACCGAAGATCACCATCAAGCATTGGAAAAACTTATTAAAGACGAAACAATAATGCTACTTCGTCCGGATAAGGGTTCCAGTGTAGTCATTCTTAACAGAGATGAATATATCAATAAGGTAATGTCCATTTTAAATAACCACCAGATTTATCATCGACAATACCCAGAAAGACTTAACAGATGCGACAGAGAAACGTGTCTTAAGAAAGTTGAGAGAACTCGTTAAGAAAAATCTAATAGATAATCATACGTATAACGAACTCAAACCAAAAGGGTCACAATTGCCATACTTATATGGGCTACCCAAAACACATAAACCCGACATCCCTATAAGACCAATATTATCGATGGCCAAATCACCCTTTCATAAACTTGCCCGCTGGCTAACTAGATGCTTGCAACCAATCCGCAAAAAACTAGCAACCTACAGTTTGAAAGACAGCTTTGAATTTGTACAAAAACTTGATAATCTTATTGTCTCTGACAAATTCATGGTTTCATTTGATGTCTCTTCGCTTTTCACAAATATCCCCTTGGAAGAAACGGCAGAGATCATATGTGAATATCCAGAACTCCTGCCTTTACCACCCCAGGAATTTAAACAGCTCCTGTTTTTGTGTACAAAAAACATACAATTTAGATTTAACAATGTTCTGTACCGACAGATTGATGGAATAGCAATGGGCAGCCCTCTGGGCCCAATTCTTGCCGACATATTTATGGGACATCTGGAACAAAAGAAACTTAAGCACGCAATCGAAAGCACCATATTCTACTGCAGATATATGGATGACACGTTCCTTGTCTGCAAAAATCACCAACACTCCATGTACCTACTCAGTCTGTTCAGTAAAGTACACAAAGATATAGAATTTACCATGGAACATGAAGTTGATGATAAATTCCATTTCCTAGATATTGGAATTAGGCGAACATCAGGTGGCACACTACAAAGACACATTCATCGCGAAAATACTTGGAGCGGAGTTTATCTCAATTTTAACAGCTTCTGTCCAATGAGTTATAAAAAGGGTATTGTGCGAAACCTTTTTGACCGCGCACGCAAAATCTGCTCAAAAGAATGCCTCAAAGAAGAAATTGCCACAATCACCAAATGCCTACGTGGAAATGCATATCCGGAGAAATTCATCCACAAATATGCTAATACAAACCCTCCGATTAAGTATGATACAGTTGAAAAGAAAACCTGCTTCCTATCTTTGCGCTTCAAAGGAGATGAAGTCGCCGGAATTATCAATCACAGAATTAATTCCGCTTTAAAAGTGGCCTACCCGGCAGCCAAACTGACTACGTTATGGAAAACATACTGCTCACTGAAACAAACGGAGATCAACAAATCCTCTCCCCTCAGTTGCTCCAACTGCATTTACCAATTTACATGTACGTACCGTAGCTCATACATTGGAAGAACTGAGAGAAGAGTACAGGTTCGCATTTCTGAGCATATTCCGAAGAACTTGACGCTGCGAGGGACTAAAGCTTTCAACAGTGCAATAGCTCGGCATCTACTTGACACCGAGCATACCGTCGATATTCTGCACGCGTTTAAAATTATCAATAGACAAAGAAGTACTACCACTCTCCGCTTTGCTGAAGCCATTGCAATTAAGAAACTGAAACCGGATTTATGCATTCAAAAAGAGACTTCAATAAACTTATCACTACCCTGGTAATCTCTTTTGTTTCCGTTTGTTTTTTGTGTTTTGGTTATTTTATTCATTTACTTATTTTAAGATATTTTATACTCCCCTATTACCTAATTCCTAAACTAAAATTTTATTCACACATTTCCACCACCTGATCCTCTTAAATTATCTTAACTTTCCAAATCCTATTTAATTATTATTACGTAATCTCCTTATCATTATTCAATTCCATTAATCTCTAATTATCACACAATTTATGAACTTCACTAAACTATTACACCACCCAACCTGAATTAACCCCTTTTTTTACTTCTGACCTGTTTCTATCATATATATATATATATATATATATATATATATATATATATATATATATATATATATATATAGTTATGTTTGTAATCCAGTTATTTACACTCATTTATGTCAATTGTTTCACACTATCTCCATGTAAAAAAATTCTATCACAATTTTGGTTTGTAAGCAGCTGACGAGAAACCTCGCAATAATATGAATTCATACTATTCTGCATCAATGTTTGTTCTTGCTCTATTTAAAATCAATTTATTCTATTCTGAAATGTGTCTCTAAACAATGGAGTGCTACCCTTTTACGAATTGGGTCTAATGATTCAGCGAACCATCAAGCCAACTTATGGTGAATTTGCCACATATATTTCATGCTTTTAGTTCCCTTTACGAATTTAAGTAAAGCCAGAACGAACATGGATGCAGAATAATATGAATTCATTATATATCGTGGTTTCTCATCAGCTGCTTACTACCAAATATGTATTAGAATTTTACATTGAGGTAAGATATAGTGTAGAACAATTGGCATAAGTGAATGGGAATGACAAAGTTTATCAGTAATAACTATATATATATATACAGAACAGGTCAGAGGTTATTTGGTGTTAGAATCAAGAAAAAATTAGGGATGGGTGACGTAATAATTGAGTGAAGTTCAGAGACAGATAAGATAAATTGTGTGACAAATTTTAGAAGTAATGAATGGTTTACATAAGATTCAAGGAATTAAAAAACTAGCAAGATGTGTTACGTAATAATTGAACGGGATTTGAAGAGTTTACATAATTTAAGAGAATCGAGTGAGTGGAAATGTATGAGTGGAGGGATGGTTTAAGAATTCGGTAATGAAAGAGAAATATAAAAAACTAAACATTAACAATAAAACTAATGACTAAAAATTGAATTACCAGTGTAGTAATAGGTTTATTACTCTCTTTCTGAATACATAGATCAGGTTTGAGTATTTTTATCGCGATTGCTTCGGCAAAACGGAGAAAAGCAGTACTTTTTTGTCTGCTAATAATTTTAAAAGCTTGAGGAATGTCAATGTTATGCCCAGTGTCAAGTAAATGCCAAAGTATTGCACTGTTAAAAGCCCTTGTCCCTCGTAGTCTCAATTTCTTTGGAACATGATCGGAAACGCGAACATATACTCTTCTCTCGGTTCTTCCAATGTATGTGCTTTGGCACGTACATGTAAATCAGTAAATGCAGTTGGAGCTACTGAGAAAAGAGGACCTGTCGATTTTAGTTTGTTTGAGAGAGCAGTTCGTTTCCCATAGTGTCGTCAGTTTTTCCGCTGAGTAAGTCACCTTCAACGCGGAATTTATCCTGTGATTAATTATTTCAGTGATTTCATCTCCTTTGAAGCGTAAGTATAAGAAGCAGGTTTTCTCTTCCACTCTATCGTACATAACCCGAGGGTTGGCTTTGGCATATTTCTGGATGAACTTCGCTGAATATGCATTCTCACGTAGGCAATTTGTTATGAGAGCAACTTCATCTTCCAGGTATTCCTTTGAGCTCCTTTGAAACATAGAGACACTTATTCAACATGTCGGAAAATTAGTTCAGAACATACTTTCGAAGATCTTAGGTTAAGGCATTAGAACCAAAGTTATAATACTATAAAGTTTATTTTCAAAAATTTGTAAAGATAGCTTTATGAAAGGCAAATATCTAAGTGTTGATTAATCTGAGAGAGTAAAACAGTACAAGAGCAGTTAGGGCATGATACTTCTGATAAATCAATTGTTTCAATTGCATTTGGTTTCGATTCAATCAGTGCCACGTCTTGACATAACGAGTGACCGTTTCCGAGGATATGACCTTTATCATCGCTAGGCCAAACATGGACTGATGAATAACTGCTTCCACCATTGTTCGGGTGACTAGCAAATTTTGTAAAGGTATTTTTTTTTTCATCATTAATGGTGACAAAGTTTCGAATATCGCCACTCCTAATTTGTTTTTCTGAAAAAAAAGTGAGGAAAATCCTGACTTGTTGTGCAGGTCTAAGCAAATTGCAGTTACAAATAACTTACAGTTGTCGAGATTTCATTTTGCACTAAACGACTTTGAGATTACAACCTGCTTAGCCGACCAAGGGACAGCAAATTTAAGTGAATGAGTTACTATGTTATGATTGGGATTTGGGATTCTGGCATTTTAGTTGTCAATACGTGATGAAAACTCAAACACTAACTCCTCATTCTGAATTCTAACAATAGTTCCTAATTCTACTTTGATAAATGTGATATGAATTTGAAGCGATTTTCACTTTCACCATTAGCTCAAGGGTATATTCCGACTTTATTATGACTATTTTTAACCATATACACAATTCACAATTTTTCGTAAGGAAATATATCCTCCTCTTTCGATCACATGACTGCATCATTGTTTACTCAATCCGTAAACGTTTGGAAATAAGATATTTCCCTGAAATGTGATGAATGTCCGTAAGTACAGTAGATCTGTTAAATTTGTAACACGAGAAAACGAATTAAACCTACAAAAACAGGTCGATTTCTTAAAGATAGAGTGGTATATATATAAATGAGTATTCAGTAGTCCAATGCACATTGTCGCTCATTATTGTGTTTTCGATCGAGTAGTCAGTTGAGAAGGTCAGCACATAGCACACCGTGTATCAGTATCAGATTTCAGACACCACACGTCACAATAGATTCAACTATAATCCTCCGTATTATTAAGACATTTGTTGCGAAAATAACAAAACTGATATAGCATAATCTTGAGAAAATGGATATCACAAAATACATTCATTGGATTTGTTGGAATCAATCAAGAATTTGAAGGTTCACTTGAGAATAAACAAATGGACTAACTAATGAGAAACAGTTTGTATTACAATTTATGGCTAGATCTCTGTGCCGTTATTATTTAAGGATTAATTTATATATTTAATTCACTATCATGGTGGTCAAACATTAGGTTAGGTAGTTCAGTTATCCTCTAGCATAATACTGTGAAGAACGATATATACTTTTTTATTTTAAGAGTCCTAAGACGGTCTGACAACAAACAAAACAGTATTTCCATGTTTATACGGTACTTCGTAGACAAGCACAGGTCCCTCCACTCAAATTTCAGTCGGATTTTTGTGTGAAGTTTATTTATACCACCAAGCTACAAAAACTTAAATAAACAAACCAAAGATAAAATGTAAAACCCATCAACTGAAAGAAGGGTCCTCTGACTATTAGCCCACAGTTTCTCATTTTTGGTTGGTAATTTGTTAAATATAGCAAACGCACAATGTATTAGTAGAATAATTTTTGTATAAATTACGGTTCTATTTGCCCATGGCATAATACGGCCAGCTGTTTGGAATTTGATGATTATTTGTGGAGACCTCTCGTTCAACTAATCACCAGGAAATAGAGAGTAGTTAAAAGCTTGACAGTCAACTGCCCTGTTACAATATAGTAAACAAACACAAAAAACTCATAGAATACAATGGAACTTAAAATTACTTGATGTAGATTGGTCTTTTGAACTGGATTCAAATGAAGTTTTTCGTCTAGATGGAACTTTCTTCACTGGTTCCTTGATTTTTACAAATTTACCTAATTGCAACAAAACAGTATCAATAACAAAAATGCAAAACACTAGGATATTTTTCTAATTTGAGTGGTTTATTAAAAGATATACTAATTAAAATCAATCAATAGATATAAATTTTTAACACACTATCAAAACAATTTATTCATGCAAGGGATCCTTCTCAAGGAACTTATTTTCAGAGCTAAACAGTCGTATACACAAATGGTAAATAATAGGTCAACGACTAATTATGTCCACTAAAATTTGACTGGTTGTTAAATGAAATTTGACCACATAGCTTTTAAGAAGCAAACGGCTATTTAGTAGGGAATTTACGAAACACAAAATAAATAATCAATAGGGTTAAAAATATTGCTGTAAGTATGATGATGTAGAAATGGGAATTTGTTAATGACAATCAACAAATCTAGGCAGAAACAACCGTCCTAATAATAAAAATAATAATGATAATTTCAATTATTATTATTATTATTATTATTATTATTACAATAAAAAAGAACAAATCAAAGTCTTTTTTTAAATTCGCCTTATCATGAGAAAGAGAAATACAGAAAAAGTTGATCACGATCCACAATTTAATGGAAAACTATTCATCAACTTGAAAATTTCGAAGATAATCGTTGTCGAATAAAATTTACCAAATCACGAGAAAAATGTTATCAGTCAGTCATAATCAGTGTAGGGCATAACATATATGTAGATTATCTCAAGTTTTCATACTATGTCTGCAGGAGATCATCAACCATAGGTTTTACGTTGAAATAATGGTTAGACTTGCTAATCGTGGTGACACAATCGAGCTACACAGGATGGAACACTCATTTCTTCAGGTACTACTATGTTAGGTTCAAGGACGAAGTCACACTTCTAATTGCACAGGAGTGTGACAGCAGTAAGGTGTTCCCCTCAAACACCCAACATATATAGAATGATGCTGGCTTCTCATGGAGGAAGAGGTTGACTCTGACAACGGTACAACTTACATTGGGTCCATGGATTCCAGTTATTTGTGGCAAGGTTTGAAGATTACAAATCTAATACATTAAAAACCATCCACGAAAAGGCTGTATGTGACAGGTTTTCAACAAATATTCCTTGAGCTCTGCGGTGACGCTCCCGGACCGTCGGAACTACACTTGACCCGACTTTCTTTCAAAGCCTCTCAAGAAGAACTTCTCTTTCATGTTGTGAGTAACTGAGAAGTGAAGAGAGCTTTCATACCATCCCAAATCATCTTGAAATTTTCTCTATTTTGTTTTAATGAAAATTCATTGCAATATTACATTATTTATTGGTTATTTTACTGGCAAAAAACAGTGACATCGGTTAATTTACGTCAAGATAAATACTATTCTATTATGACCCAACATCAACTTTACACAGTTTTGCATAATAGATCATGGGCTGAATCTGACACAGGCAAAAACTGAAATTTGTTACTAGGATCAGGAAAGGTAAGGTATGTTATGGAAATAAAAATCACATTGGAGGTTATTTTTACAAACGTTATAAACTGGAAAGACATTTCGTAACGTCCTACCAGATGTTATGTAACGACCTCATAAAGTGGCCGTTACGAACATCGGTTTGTGAATGTTCTACTTGTTAAGCAGTAGGGAGTATTATTCGAGGGGAACTAGGGAGAAAATGACCAAGTTGTGTTGAAAAGTACTACTTTTTGTTTATACCTGCTGTAGAAGTGGAAGATGGCTAAAGGGTAAAGAAAACATTACTAAAAGGTAATGCTGAGTCTTGCGGTGACACTAGCTAAAACAACAGAGGTGAGTGAATATTTTTTACAACACTATATATCTACCTGAAAATATCAGCAGATTAAAAACCAATGAGTCCTGGTATTCACTTCCGTTTAGAAAGTTAACGATAATCTAAACCAATGAGCTACAACCAAGCTGTATTACTGCTACTCCAAAGCAACAAACGAATTTTTAAGATATAGTATGCATGAAAAACTTCCGTCAAAACGTGAAATACCAAAGACGTAAACACTAAAGCTTGTATTTTGGAATGTAAAGCAATGCCATGGACAGATAATTATAAACAAAGACTAAATTATACTCCCAGCATTCGCAACACAGCAAATAACCATGAGCTTACCTATACATGTAGCTTGATGCTGACCCCACCAAGTATCCTTAGGGCCAGGTACTCTATTCATAGAACGTTTAACATAGCCGAAGTATGGTGGACGGTTGCGACATGGACCGGTACAACGCCACCAGTGAGTGCGATATGTATCAACTTCATCATGAAATGCATGGTAAACCTAGACATATAACACAACCAAATGTAATCAAACATGTAAAGGCCAATAAAGATACTAGCAGACAAAAGTTATAATCTCAAGTTACAAAGTCATCGATCACCAATATGTTGTCTATGGAAAAGTAAACTATTCAAATAAGTCTTAGATGCTATGATGGCCTGTAATTGAATTCGCTTAACTATAAATCACTCAGCTTTTATCACCACTTGAAGACAGAATCATGCAGTGTTCTTTTCTCAACACTAGGTTTCTTGCATTTGCTATTCGAACCACATCTTTTCGATACATTACCGAAACACCCGAGTTTGCATCTTTAAACGTTGAAGCTACTCGTTAGATCACTTGACTTTTAAAAAGGACAGTGGTATTTTTCCTCGCTGAGTAAATTTCTTTGTTTTGATCGTTTATTACGTATCAAGACTACTGTTTTTCACTTTAATTGAATTTATTTCAGTTAAAGTATTCGACTAAAGTATCGTTTTTACTGTTTTGTCGTTGGTACTCTTGAGTACCTCTTTTTCAACTGTATCTGTTAGTACTTTTGGTCCTAGCAATCTACAGCCCTTCACTTTTGGTCATTGATAAATTTTTTTTGTTCTGAGTATCATCACAGTTTAAAAAAGAACCCCTCATAAATGACCGGACAGTGTAAAAAAAGCAGTTGTCAACGCCCCGGATTGTCGTTATCCTGTTGAAAGCGACATGCAGTGCGACGAGTGCAAAGGCTGGTATCACGAAGTTTGCACGAACTTAACGCCTGCTGCTTTCAAACGGTTCAGTAAGAAGGGTTGTGTGTGGCTTTGTCAACAGTGCTGCTCGGATGCAAACAGCTTGTTAACCGAGGCCATCTCACTGGTTGATGCTGCAAAGAAGTGTTTTAACAAGCATAGTCGGAACGCGTCAAACAGCACTCGATCTGTTGACACGCAAATCAACGTGAAGGAAACTAAGGTTAGTCCGGTGATAGATGACTCACGCCCGTCAAAGAAGGAAAAGCAGTCTTCAAAGGGGCCTGCCTTAAAAAAAAAGCTCAAGAAAAGTAGGGTCTTCTGTTCCCCGTCTCCCAGATGGGATCCAACAGGAAACACCTAGGAGCCGCAATCGCAAGGCTCGATCGGTTTCAAATGGTAAACATAACACGACCCCTCAGGTCGTCGACAACCCCCCAAAACCCAACACTAGGTTTGACGCAACTGTTATTGCTTCTACCAGCACCGTTGACGAATGGGTAAAGGTTGTAAGGAAGAAAAGTATTGATATAAAAGGGAAACCTGCCCCCGTAAAAGTGGTTGAAAAATCGAAAGCTGATCATAGCGACAGATTAGTTATTTTTCATAGAATTAAGGAGAGCGATGGCTCTGAACCTAAAGCTCGTTTTGAGCATGACATTGTACTGATTAGGCAGCTGCTTAATCAACTCATGCCTCAAAATATGACTGGGGTCACCTTGCTAAAGGTGTACAGACTAGGTAGTCTAGCGGACTTGAAACCGAATGATTCCAGACTGCTTAAAGTAGTATTCGGCTCTTCAAACGAACGTAACCTAATTTTACAAAATGGACACAAATTAAAGGGTTCAGGAGTCTTTATCCGAAAGGACCTACCGTTGGCAGACCGTGTTAAAAGACGGGAAGCCGAGAAAGAACTACAACATAGGTTAGACGCTGGCGAAAAGGACCTAAAAATTGTAAGTTTTCGGGTTGTAAGACTTCGACAGAGAATGATGCCGAAGCCACTCTGGGTGAAGCACGAAGGCACTTAAACAGGCTTCGGATCTGTTACACCAATGCACGAAGCTTACTTAATAAGCGATCGGAACTAGGTGTACAGATTGACTCTACAAAGCCAGATATAATCGCAGTAACAGAAACCTGGCTGACACAGGCTATGGATAGTATAGAACTTGATTTCGAGGGCTTTACGTTAGTAAGGGCCGACAGAACACAAAAGTGCAAAGGAGGGGGAGTAGCTCTATTCATTAGGACTGCTATCCCATTTACCATTATCGATAGTGTATCCCATGAGAGTGAGACGTGTGAATTAGTTAGTCTTCGCTTAAAATGCAAGGGACAAGAGCTTCTGATTGGTTTGGTCTATCGCAGTCCAAGCTGGGAGGCAAATGAGATCCTGTTAAGCAGTCTCAATACTTGGTCCCAAAGTGGTCGATGTCTAATCCTAGGAAACTTTAATGCACCTATGGTAGACTGGGAAAATCTGCGAACTAAATCGTCGGAGAATTCTTTCGAGCAGGAACTAGTTGATAGGGTTATCACATGTGCTCTAGTGCAACATGTGAAAGAAGCGACAAGGTACGATCCGGACACTGAATCATCACTATGAGGATGATGTTGCGAACCTCCATCATATGCCACCCTTAGGTAAAAGTGACCACGCAGTTTTAACTTTCGACTTCCATATAACTGCCAGTCATGAGGACGCGTCAGTCCAGTCCAGACCCAACGTCTGGAAAGCAAACATACCAGACATCATGCACTCAGCATCGTTAATAGATTGGACAATAGACCCAGAGTCCTCCATTGAAACGGCCTGGGACGCATTTCGAAATTCATACTTAAAAGTTACCACACCTCACATCCCTTGGACTATACCAAAGGGGCCGAAAAACTCACCACCATGGTTCAGTAGGGAGGTCCGTATCCTTCTCCGTAAGAAAAGGAAAACGTGGGATATATTTAGGTTACTGGGGACTGATGAGTCAAAATCTCAGTATCGAAAGGCTCGGAACACTTGTGCCTCGACCCTCCGTAAGTCTAGAAAATTGTACGAAGAAAAACTTGTTAAGGAATCCATAGAATGTCCTAAACGCTTGTATTCCTATATAAACCAAAGGACAAGGAGAAAAGGAAATATTCCTGCTCTATGGGGAGACAGTACTTTTTCATCATTAGTGGAGGACGACTTTGGTAAGGCTCAAGCGTTCTCGAACTACTTTAGCAACGTGTATACCATAGAAGCGCCCTTCTCGTCAGCGTATACAGATCCCCCCATACATACACTGAATAGCGTGACCATTAAAGAACTCGATGTCTTTGGTCTGCTAAATAATCTTGACATAGGTAAATCCACGGGGCCCGATGAATTACATCCTAGGCTACTGAAGGAATTATCTAACTTCGTTGCAAGCCCTTTAAGTACATGCTTTAACCTATCCGTTACGCAGGGTCGCTTACCGAAAGATTGGAAAAACGCCATAGTAAGTCCTGTCTTCAAAACAGGCACGAAACACAAACCTGAGAACTACCGCCCCGTTAGCCTAACTAGTGTGGTTGTTAAAATATTAGAAAAGATTATTCGGAAGAAGCTGTTTAAGTATCTCGATAAAAACCGGATCCTCTCGGAGAAGCAGCACGGCTTCAGAATAGGTTATTCTTGTCTCACTAACTTATTAGTGGCTCGTGAAAGCTGGTGTGCTCTTAAGGACCAAAAGCTACCTGTAGACGTCGCCTTCATTGATTTCAGTAAAGCTTTTGATAAAGTTCCGCACAACCGGCTGTTATATAAGCTAAGAAAAGTCGGGATTGGAGGCAATTTATTGATGTGGATAAAAGACTTCTTAGTTGGGCGTCAACAAAGAGTTCGGGTGAACTCAAAGTTATCTAGCTGGGAAACTGTGCTTAGTGGAGTGCCCCAGGGTACAGTTTTGGGGCCAGTGCTATTCCTCTTGTATGTAAATGACCGTCCTCGTCTCCCATCATCATCGGTCTTGCTATATGCTGACGATGTCAAGATATGGAGAACGATACGATGTGAGGGTGATAGCTTAGAACTTCAAAATGACCTGAAGAAGTTATCTGAATGGTCTCAAACATGGCAGTTGCCGATAAATACTTCCAAGTGTGTTGTGATGCATATCGTTCATCAAGGCACAGATACATACACGATGAATAACACTGAGCTACCTGTCGTCCAGACATGTAATGACTTAGGAGTTATCGTTAGTCAAGACTTAAAGACTACTGCACACTGCCGTGCAATAGCCGCCAAAAGTTTTAGAACGTTATGGTCAATACGTAGGGCTTTTAGTCATGTCGACGCTAAGACGTTTTTGACTTTGTATACAGTGTTCGTTCGTCCTAAACTTGAGTACTGCATACAAGCGGCTAGCCCCTGCTTAAAAAAAGACAGTGAGCTTCTGGAAAAGGTTCAGAGAACGGCGACTAGGCTGATTCCCGGAATAGCGAAGCTTCCGTATGAATCTCGACTGGCCAAGCTGAACCTTTTCCCGTTGTCATATCGCAGAACTAGAGGCGACTTGATTACAGTCTACAAATTGCTTAGTGATAAATTTGCACCTAACATGCCCTCATTTTTCTTGTCTTCCAAAACAGAGAATTTACGAGAACACTCAAAAAAAGTTCACAAGCCGAGAACAAATTACTTGTCAGCTGACTATCGACTTTCCCATCGAATCATCAACGAGTGGAATTCACTACCTCAGCACGTGGTTGAGGCTCCATCCATCGACTCTTTCAAAAGAAAGTTGGATCAACTGAGAGACCACCATTGCCGGGACTAACATAGGCCATCGAGCCTCCTGTCCTTCCCAAACTGAAACTGAAACTTTTGGTCATTCGGTTGCATGTATGTACCTAACATCAACGACTATGATTTGGAAGGATAAGTAGTAACTTTGGGTCAAACAGAGTCACGAAGCTGAGCTCACGAACCGATATATGGTTACTTAATGACACTACTGTTCGATATGTTAACTTCTATTATGTATGCCTACCGGATTTGGGGCTGCACCTGATATACGAGTTAGTTGGATGTCGTTCTGTTCACCTTGAAGTGCATTATGTGAATTTTGTGATGGTTATTAAGTCTAGTACAGCAAATAATAAACACCAGTGACCAGATAGTACTATTAATACACCAGTAACTAAATTAATACGAGAAAAATAAGCTAGTCTAGGTAAAGACAGCTGGTCGGTCGTACAACTCACACTTAAAATAAACTCGCATTTATTGACTTCTTATGAAAACCGGGGTATATACTTTTGACTTGCCAAAGTTAGTTTAACTAGTAAATAAGACCAACTGCACTACGCTTAACTACACATTGGAAAAGAAGCCAACGATCTTTGTGTAAGGTAACTAACAGTCAAACGACAACCACTGGTCATAGAAACTGTATTCTCCCATGAATAATTGTACGAGGTCAATGTAAAGAGAAACTTTCAGATCGAACTAATATTATGAAGGCCAACTGAGTACAATAATTCAGCAAAACATTAGTTGAGTAACAAGCCCAGATCAGAAGGCTAGGCTCAAAACCATTTAGTAATGGTGTGTGTATAATACATTATCCAGCCCATCAAGAGGCAATTTAGAAATATGAAGGCAAGTGTTCAAGTAACTTTAGGATGTAAAACGACTTTTTATATTTTCATATGAATTAGTGATCAAATCGGGAACCTGGCTTAACTGGTCATCCTAAAACTCGGTGAACAGAGAACCCTCACTAAAGTTAAAATATATTAATTGACTAAATATCACTACTCAAATTTATCAAAGGTTTTAAGCAACGGCAGTGTGGATCAGGTAAGAAAAGTTATGCTACAAACAAGCGAATGATTCTAAGATACCTTCCTGGAATAAAAAAAGAAGTTGACACATATATTTTTGTGACCGAAATAAAATTAACCATTAAGCTTATAACGATATGTACAGGAGAATAAATGACACGCTGGCATATTAAAACATTGGTATTACAGTAATATTTACTCCAGCCAACGAGTTGATGCGATGCATGTGCGATATGAAATTTGGTCCATGGTCATCACGATCCTAAAGATTTGGATTAGGAGTGAGATAACAAACTTTGTCCTTCCTTGTTATGAACAAAAATGCATGAATCATTTCATGCTAAGAAAAAAGTAATTACAATGGTTAGATCATACCAACAGAGTCTCCACGAGATCTTTTCGCGGTCTAAATTTTAGTAGGGGTTCACTTAGGCTGATGGAACACATTCCATAAGGTTTGTGAAATTTGCAAACTCCTGCACAAAGAGTCATCCGGGAGCTCCATTTGACTTCTACACATCCGAGAGAATTTCCGAAGAACTGACTGTCGAATGAGGAGAACAGCAATCTGATATCTGGTAGTGGGTCCAATAATTCCCAAACAGGATCAGCAAGGCAACAAAGATCCTCAGCCTGTCCCATAAGTATGATTATAGTGAATAAAAGCGTACCGTTTTTTCGACTAGGCTGTTTTGGTGACCCAAAAAACTGGCAACGTTAGTTTTTCTAGGTGAAGATTCGTCATCAGACCACATAAATATCTCCCAAGTCTCGAAAACTGGTTAGTTCCACCAACAACCTTGAGAACAAGTGTCCCACATTCGATGCCCTTCAGCGGTATGGAGAGCATTTCGAATTGTTGTTCAGTTGGTCATTATTGACAAGGCTTTTTCCTACAGGATAGATTTGCTAGCCAATTTACAACCCTTTCTCTCTATCCGCTGATAACCCTGAATTGGACTACAGGAGGAGTGATGATACTCTTAAAAAGGTGGGCAATTTAATGAACAATGTGTAAACATTTGAAACACGAAAATCAAAGTTTCTGAAGTCAACCGAGGCGAATTAGCCCACTTTCTAAGAGGGACTTCTAGTCAATAATCTTCAGACAAGTCTCAGAACAAAGGTGTAGCAAATGAAGATAGGATCTAACTGTATTCAAAGTACTTTGGAGATGGTTAACATGGACTTTTTTTTCAGCGAATATTTTTTGTCATTAGTTGTGTTTTTCGCAACTTGTACAGTTAATATTATTTCTATTAAAGCTCTTCTCCAGATTTGACCTTGGTCTTTCATTACTTTTCTGCTCTCTGCTCATATATCACTGGTTTTCGCTCATAAATACATCGATGCACACACACTTCTCGTTTTAACTTAACAGCTTCCACAATTAAATACTTCAAGTACGTTTGCCACCTACGTTTACACATCGCATTGACATTCTTACTATGTGATCATTCCAGATACACATTGTATTGAATTATATCTATCATATTTGAAATTAGTAACGACTTTTTATGATTGTGGGTATAAGGCCAAAACTTGAACACGCTCCTCACTGACAGGTTAAGTAGCGTCCCCTATTTTCCATCATGAACACTTATATTCGTTATATCTCCATCATTATTTTGGTATTGATATATCTGGTGCGCCACAGTAACAAAAATACCTATTTGTCATTTTTAAGTCTAGCTAGTCTTTTCACCCTTGAAATCAGGAGTTAATCTACTCTGGGCCATCATTGAAAACACGAGTTTCCCGTTTCATTCAAGTACAAACCCTTCATCAAAGCGTACCAACAATTCATACACGGTACACGAACCCAAGATCTTTAGTCTCGCATGCGAATGCTTAATCTCTGAGCCTAGAGCCAATGGTGTTTATGTCTGACTCCGATCAATCCATGATTTGACGAAACCGTTCATCCTTGGTCTCTAATAGATAACTGTTTCACATCCAATAAATATTTGTCTCCACTTGATATGTCTATGGCTGTTGACGAAATTTGATTGTCTTGTCACGACAAGCTAACTGTATCCTCATACAGCCACATAAATACATATTATTCAACACGTTATGAAGGCCAGGTTTCCCCTTAAATTGATACAACCAACGACATGCTGATCAGCAGAATAGGATAATAACAACGGCAAAGCTTGTCTTTATTCTAAAGAATATGAATGGCAAAGTACTTGCCTACTGAGTGGGGTCTGAGTGAGATATTAGGGTAGTTTTTAACCGGGGATGAAAATGCCCCACTAACCCATAACCCGAGAATTATGACGTTTTTGACACACCTGGCGGTTCTCGACTAACCATTAACAACCAATAATAAGCCATTACATCATCTTCCTCCTAGAATCGACTACCATTCAATTACTATTCAAAAAGTTTGAAGATTTCACATACTTGACAAGTTTCTTACCTTATCTCTGTATCATCTGTATTTTTTCCATAATTTATCGGGCATAATTTTTTGTACGTGTCCTCTTTCTGAGATAAGATAGGAAGGAAACAAATGTGATGAGGGTATCTAAAGAAGTGCAGAATGTAGGTTACCCAACACCATGCTGATGGATTTGACTTTTTAATGACCTGTTCGGCTATCAGGTGTCTACTTATCTGATTCTTGAGGAATTCTGAAGTCGAAAAGAAAGATAAATCTTTTTATGGGAATATACAAACAAACCCAGTTAAACCTGAGAAGTTGCCCGATTATCTAGGAATAGTTTATCAATAACAACTTCAAAGAAGAAACCTTGTATTCATTCTAATATTTCTACTGTCCTGTCAATGATGAACTTAAAAGAGACCCAGAAAAATTATGTGAGCAGCTCAGCGACACGTTTGCACGGAAATATACTAGATATAATCAAAATGAACATATAACCAGCATTTTCAACGAAAATACATTAACATGCCTGGAATTCACGCTGAGGATTGTGAGAGATTCAATAAGGTCATTAGAACCTCTCTGGAAAGGTTATGATGGGATACCGGCTAACTCAACTGAATATGAAGGTTCTGAAGATGCCACAGTTGTAAGATCCGTTTTGAATGTTTTGTGTGTGTATATATATGTGAAAATCCCTCAATGTATACACATGTACTTTGTTCCTATTGATTCCCTTAGCCGTACATTGTTAGTTTTTTGATCACATTTGAATTGTTAATATTTGTATTTTTTATTGTAGTTTTTGTTTTTCTTACGCCTTCACTAAGTTTTTGTGTATCTTTCCGAACTGCATCTATGTTGTTTTACTTGATACTTGCCCTTCGCGGCAGCCATATTGATTTCCTCCTCCTTTTGTGCGTGTTCCATCCGGCCAGAATAGAATAGCGTTCATTTGTTGTGGCTGGTAATTTTTCCCGCATCTTTTATCAACTTCTTTATTTATTGTAATTTAGATTTGATTGATTGAACAATTAGTGGTTGAATAGCCGGGTGGTAATATTTGTTTAGGAAACGATGTACATTAAAATTTGTAATGAATTATAGAACCGTCATTTACCAGATTACTTGTTTTGATTTTAACAGGCAAGGGCGCGTCTTTAAACTACCTCGACAGCTATTCTTCAGTCCAAACCGTAGTTTGGATTCTACACAGTTATTTAGAGTTTGACAACGCTTTAACCAGTAACACCTTTTAATATGAAGCGTACCCACCAAGTGAAATCGAAAGACAGTGGTGAGGAGGTTCGAAGATATATTTGACATGTAATCAATATACTGAGACTCGTCTGATCTAATCTGGCTAGCGATTGCAGTAGATGTTGAGCACGGTGCTCCCACTCGTGATCTGGTGCGGATGCATGACCAAGCGCCTTCAGCTAGGTGAGTCCATTAAAACATGTGGTCAGCATCCAATGTCGAAAACTTACAGAGCTATTTATTTTGGGTATTTATTTGCCGCTACAGATCACTCCCCCCTAGTGGGGAAGTGATGACCCTAAGACGTGGCCAGCCAGAAGTTTAAACCCAACGAGTTTGTCGTTGGTAAACACTCTTCTGATAGCTTGCTAGGTTTAGCAGCGTCTGGTTGTCTTTCCTTACTATAAGGGACCATGAAATACAATATAGTAAGAAAATAATGTACAATCAAAATTTCGGTTCCTCGTAAGCCTCATCGTTCTTTTTATCGTCCTTTCCAGCCGTCTTGGAAAGGAAAAAAAGAATAGACAAGTGCATGTCGAAATAAACTCGCACGCGCTTTAAGACACAAAGTGAGCGAAAAAAGGAAAATGGCGTAAAAGCGATTTTTACAAAATGTTTGTTTTTGTTTTTTTTTTAATTTTTAATAAACATATTAGCAAAACAATAAATATGTATAAATATAAGCATATTAAAAATTTCTTAATATTATATATAATGCCATGGAAAACCGCGATGAAACAAAGTGTTGAGTGGTGTCTTACGTGCAATAGTCGTTTAAAAATTCTGGAAATCTTACTCTTCTTCCAGAACGCGTTAACATAAGTTTATTTTCAGATAGTGTCGAAGTATCATCGTGCGTGTTGGTTGTCAGATGAGGTATTATAAATGTCAGCGTCATATCATTCGATTGTACCGAAGGAAAATGGACGTAGGTAGGATTTCCTTATAAATACACTGCTTTGAGGCGATAGATGCTGGTGCTATCGTTAGTTTCTTTTTTATCGATTATACAGTACTTAAGTTCGCGTTGAAGAACTTTGAAAGACCCTTCGTATGCTGATTCGAAAGGTCGTCGATACGAGTCTCCATGTACGAAAACGTGTGCACTATATCGTAAGTTAGTTCGAACGAAAACATCAGTTGATTGAGGTCGAGTGGAAACAGGTTTAACTGAAAGCATTGCGTTTGTAAGCCTGTTCGTGTAGGAGGTTAGATCCATGTTCATTGAACAGGACGAAGGATCCACGAATTCTCCTGGAAGTCGAAGTGTCGTTCCATAAACGAGTTGAGCCACAGCGTATCCAATGTCGGCTTTCACTGCATTGTGAATCCCTAGTAAAACGAGTGGAAGAGCGTCCGTCCACTGTGAAACGTTTGCAGCTGATAGTGAAGCGTTTAGCTGTCGGTGAAAGCGTTCTACCAACCCGTCTGCTTGTGGGTGGTAGGCGGTCGTTCGGAAGCGAGTGATTCCTAAAAGTGTGGTCAGACGTCGGAAAAGATCAGATTCAAACTGACGTCCGCGGTCTGTAGTGATGGTTGAAGGGCAGCCGAAGTTTGCTACCCATCGTTCGATGAAGGCGCGAGCCACTGTTTCAGCAGTGATGTCCTTGATAGGTACTGCTTCTGGCCATCGAGTGAAACGGTCTACGCAGGTTAAGAGGTAAGAGTATCCATTTGAATCTGGTAAAGGTCCTACCAAATCCAGATGAACATGGTCGAAACGAGCATCGGGAGTTTTAAACAAGCCTAAGGAACATTTATTGTGTCTGATAACCTTAGATTTTTGGCAGCTTACACAGGAGCGTGCCCACTCCCTCACGTCTTTATTCATGCCAGGCCAGCAGAACCGATCTGCTATAAGCTTGGTGGTTGCACGGACACCTGGATGAGAAAGTTTGTGCAATGTATTGAAGACGTTGCGTCGATAAGGTTTCGGTACGATTGGGCGATCCCTACCTGTAGATGTGTCACAAAGTAAGGTTTCCTTACCCGTTCCCATCTGTTTGATGCGTAGCTTGAGTGTTGTAGATGATAACTCGTGCTCAAGATCAGTGTCTTTTTTTAAGCTGGGCGAGTTTAAGAAGATCGATTTCTTGGAAA